TACCTTCTAGCAGTTGAGGGATGTGCCAAGACTTGCCATTGTCCTAGAGGGGAGGATCTCAGCGTGTAGATTCAGGGAGACTGGCAGCCAGACCCGCAGGCAGCAGCTTTTTAAAGCATGCAGATATCTACAGGTCTGTGGGACCACACGTGTACAGTTCTACATTTGGGTTAAAAAACTCTCAGAACTGATATTTGTGTTCCAAGACACGGACACACCTGAATAAGCACAATGTAAGCACAATGGTAGCGACACGTTGCTTGAGCTAAGGACTGTGGCTCTGGGACCAAAGTCATGGATCTCTCAAGGAACCGTCAATAAACACCAACATCGAAGCATAAAATGACGGAGCTTCCTCTTTGCCAAGTTCGACGTGACGCTTCAGTAGACAGAAACTGAAGCGCACCAAGACACACAACTCACTCTAGCCTAGTCACCGAGACAAATGGACTGCAAACCCCAACTTGCCTCTCCGAAAGCAAACATTCTATTTCTTACAAGAAACCGTCCTCCCCTCTTGAGTTGGTATAGAAGCTTAGAGCCTATTTGTCTTTGTCCTTTTGCAAGATGTACCCTTTATCTAAGAAGGGGTGATTCAAAGGTATAAATGCCAAACCCAGCGACAGGAGGTGGGGTCAGGAATGGGAAACCTGCCACTTCGGCCCAGTCTTCTCTCGGGCCCCGTCTTTCGGGACAAGCACGACCGGCGGAGGCCGCGAGCGCGGGCGGAGCGCTTCCAGCCCCTCCTTACTTTATGGTCCGTGGTAGCCATGCAGCGGCCAGCTTTCCGTGTGTCCTTAGGCTTCCCACGGGGCTCTGTCGCCCCCAGCATGCTGCTCTCTCCTCCAGTCACTGGAGCTGAAGGTAGAGACAGAACTTCCAGCTCAAACTCAATCATGTGGTACGCAGGAGCAGCAGGCAGACTGATGCTTGTGACCTTGTCAGACGACTGAACCCGGAGCAACACATCAGAAGCCTTTTCTAGGAAAGACAGAAAAAGTCACTTCTAACACATTCCCTGTGTTTCCTTGTTCCTTTCTCTCCTAGTAGGTGATAGGCCCAGCAGTTTAGTTCCAGCCCAACTCCCGCTGCTCCTATGCACCTGCAAGAGTGTACCTAGGAAGGATTAAGGTGGCAGGGCAGAGGCAGGAAAATGAGGACCAAAACCCTCTAAGACAGTAATACGGTATAAGCCAGCCGGCTGTAGACCAGACGGTCACTGTGCTAAGTCCGAAGACAGAGAAGGGACACTTTCCCGTGGTCCACCATGTACCGTGTGTTTCCCTGCACGCCGCGCTCCCATTCCATTCCCCTAGAAGAGCAGCTCCCACCCAGAAGGGGGGCAGCGTCCTTCCCTCCCCGTACCTCATGCCTGGAGATCAAGGGAGATGGGACTTTTCTAGGGCTTCTGGCCAGTGCCTAAGAAGGCTGATTTGCTTTTACTTTTTGGTGAGGGGGGTTAGGGAGGTAGGAGGAGACTGCAGCCTGGCAAGGCATCCTCTTGGAGCAGGGGCCCAGTCCATGATGCTGCATTATAAGCCCTTAGCAAGGTCAGCACCACCTGGCCACCAAGTATATACACGGCTCTGTCTATTCATCCCAAATATGATGTCCCACCCAAGGTCAGGCTCCCAGCCCCACCTACAGGCAGGACATGGCCATGAAAAGAGCTGCAGGGAGAAGTGATTCTCAGACACTGCCTGCAGACAGCGGGGGCCACAGGCGCCTTACAGCCTCACGTGCGCAACAATGGCAAGAGTCCGCCTTCCCCAGGTGACTGCCGCCTCACCTCTTGTGTTGGAGTAGATCACTGCTCTGTTCTCTGCATGACACAGGATGAGCATGGCTTCCGCATTGCTGAGCTGGAGGCTGTCCCCGTTTTTTACTGTATAATGGCCAGTAGTCACAGTGAACTTTACCTTCTGAGGAATACCAGCCAAAAGGCTATCTGAAGGGAAGAAGACAGCAATCAGCATCACGATCAATCGATGGGGGGGCCTGCTGTGAGGTCAGAAGGGCGCGAAAGCAGATTTATTCCTTCTAAAGACTCCGTATTTCACTCCCGGCTCCAGCCCTCCACCCTCACGGTCCATCTCGATCACAGGGATGCAGGGTTGAGGGGGGGGCCCCTGCTGGGAACAAGAGAACCTGAGTCTTATCAGCACCGAAGAAAGACTTATTAGGGCTCACAGTGGCAGGCATGTCTATGACGGTCCCAAACTTCAGCTGCCAGTAAGTTAGTAAGAGAGAAGCAGCTAAGGACCCTAAAGAACAGACTAATGGAAGCGCATGTACTATTCATGCTCTTCAGAACTGTTTCTAGTCTTTTCAGGTGAGGCCTTCAGGACCTTTGGTTCAGAAACTGCTGGGAGAAGGGGGCAGCTACTGCTTTCCCCCAGACGGGAATGGAGGGCGGAGATGGGCTGAGCTCCCCAAGAGTCCCGTGCCAGGACGGCAGAAGGAAGGAGGCAAGAGATCAGGACCCAGGAGGAGGAGTGGACAGATGAGAGGGATGGGAAGCACAAGCGAGAACGGGGGCGAGGGGCCGCGGACGGGAGCGGAGGCGGGAGCACGGCCAGCCCGTCCCCCGTCTGGTTCGGGGTGTCCCAGGCCTTCAGAGCAGGGGCGCCCGGCTCTTCCCATGAGCAGTCCTCTGACGGCACCGTCTGAGAGGCTGTCCAGCATCTGAGGACCTTTCCTGGTGGCCCTGGGAGGCTTTTAAAATCAGGAAAGTAGGGAGTGTGGAGAGATTAAATAGAAAAAAAGGCCTTCCTTGAATTCTTTCCAAGTGGAAGACACGAGCCAAATCAATACATCCTGTTCAGCCCCAGCAACGCATCAGTGTCTTAATCAAGTGCCACGTGGTCTTCAATAATTTGCTTATACCAACGCCTTCTAATCTCGGGACCTGACAAAAGGACAGCAGCTCTGGACAGGGCTCCCGGGCGAGGCCGGACAGGCTCCCGGCAGCCAGCGGCCCACTCACCGGCCAGTGGCTCCACGCGCAGCTGGGGCTCCTGTGAGTACACGTCGTACTGCACCAGCGGGTAGAGGTGAGGGAGCACGAACCGCACCGGGCCCACCGAGACGCACAGCTGCCGCAGCGTGTATGTCCCGGGCTCCTTGGCCTAGGGTCAGATGCGAGCATTCGGAAAGTCACCCCCCACTCTCGGAACGGCCTTCCCGAGGCGGGCTACACCACCACGTCTGGGCAGTGCCCGTTTGCCTCTCCCTGTCCTCTCCCCCCGCTCTGCGCTTCTGCCTCAGCCCGTGGGCTGCTCACGAGAGCCTCAGAGGCCCTCGGTCGGGGAGTTTCTAAGTGACTGAGGCTTCAATGCGCCTTTCTGCTTCTAAGAATGTATTTTCGAGTTAATACACGTCCTTTGGTGGCCTCCTCTCCTGAAAGGGGTTCCGTGGAACCTCAGCCTGAGACCTCAGATCTGCTCCGAGCCTCGACTGAGAACACACGTGACAACAGTGCTTTGTGCTGTGGCCGGGCCCTCCTCGCTCAGCGGGACTCAAAGGACACACCGCCTTGGGGAAGAGGTGTGTAAGAGCAGTCACCACCGCTGCTTTGCTACCCACGCGGCCAAACGAAAGGAAAACGTTTAACACGGACCCGGGCCATCTTCTCTGAAATGTCATTTCAACAAACGAGGCTATATTTTAATGCAAAGGGAAAAAACTCTAAATCCAGTGAGAGCAAAAATAATTACCCATGTTAAGAATTTCTTTCAAACTTTATCAACTGTTGTAACATTGTGTGTCAAAGATTTTTTAAAATACCAGTCCGTTTTTCTTTAAGGATACAAACAAAACCCAGGGTAGCGCACAGAGGCCTCCACCGAATTCTCATCACACTGCCAACAGCCCCGGCGAGCTCGAAACCCTTCCTGAGCATCTGCAAAGTGAGCTCCCCATCCCGACACATACCTGCGTCCTGAACATTAGCCTATTGGCCCCTGGTTGCAGAGTCACGTCGTTACATTTGAGCACATGGGCCCCGCCCTCCAGAGCCACGCCTGAGGGCGTTTCCAGAGACGCGCTGCTCTCTTGCCTCCTCAGCAGCATGTGGGCATTCTTGCATATAATCCCTGTTGTGTTCAAGGAATTATCAGAGGGACTTCTCTCAAACATCTCATACAACTCCAGCGCGGGTAAGTTGTTCTGGGATGCGGGGCAAGGCGAGGTCTCCGTTGGAAAGTTAATAATCCCATTGGACGTCTTGTGCTTGGTAAGCCACTCGGCGGTCTTCCGGTAGTTGTTCTTCTCGATGCTGAAGTGGACGTTGATTGCAATCTGCTCCACATGGACGGGGACGGGCATCTGGCTGCACATGGTTATATCCACGGACAAAACACCGCCCACGTGGACCACAGCGTTGGAAGGGGTAAAATGGAGATCTCTCAGTTGTGCAAAACAATGCAGAGGGAGTACTATCTTGTGACCTGTAAACGCACATCACCACGAGTTACTTGCCAAGTCTCGCTCTAGACCACCTACAGGCAGCAGGGCCTTGGTCACCCCGGGGCCTGCTGGAGCCCATGCAACACCACAATCAAGAGGCAGTGCTAGTCGGAAGAGACGGTTGAAACCTCCCAACTCCATACCATCTTCACACACCAAAACACGCTACACTGTCAAAAGTAGAACATAAACGCAGGCCTACAGAGCCCCCTGGAAATCATAAAATCTGAAGAAATTAAGGTCTATAAGTTCTGTTCTGGCAAACCTAAGAGAAAAACAGGTTGATTAACACCTGAATTTTAAAACCATATTTGTAAATAGTCCAATTCTTAGGGCTGTTTCAAAGAATTCCACCACTTTCCCAACTACATAAAGAAATTCTCAAGTAAAGATGTCTATGTTCCTCCCATATATCTGGAAATAAACCCAGGTGCTTGCCAGCCTATGAAGTCAGCCAATGAAGTGGGGAGCCCTGCCTCCTGGACCCCAATAGGGCAGTGAAGCCCCAGCCCCACCGTTACTAAGGGGGAACAACCCGCTACACTCTCTGGCCTCCTTTCTATAAGCACCTGGCTTGTTGAGAAAATCTACGAGGCTGCCATACTGACTGGTCAGTGTTTACTATAGTAAACACTAATCAACCATAGGACGGACTTGCAGAAATTAGTGTTCTAAAACAGTGGACATCATAGAATAGCTTGTTCATACAGAGACAGCAAGGCACGCCAGCAGGAGAAGCATGCCTGCCCAGGCTCACACACACGAAAGCAGACACGGCACACAGCTCTGCCGATGAGCGTTGCGGGCACGTTAAAGAATCTACAAATATAAGCCAGTGCCATGCTGCTCCTGAGAAACCCATCCAGACGGCTCACTGTGAGTGAAATACAGCCCAACAATCAGTGACCCTAGCTACCTAAAGCCACGATCTTCGGAAACACTGGCTTTCAGGTAGCTAGTAACTGCCACGGACTGCACTGTGCAAGTGGACGTCCCAGCCCCCAGTGTGACAGTGTGCGAAGACGGGTCGGCCAGGAGGTAACTGGGCTTATCAGAAGAAGACACTAAAGTGCTCCCTCTCTCTCCCCTCCCCGCCCTCCCAACCCCAAGCCATCTCTGTCTCTGTCTCTCTCTCCCACTGCCATGTAAGGACAAGCCAGGAGGAGACGCATCATCGGAAAGCAACTATGATGGCACCTTGACCTTGGACATCCAGCCTCCAGAACTGTGAGCAATAACGTCTGTTGTTTAAGTACCTGGTCTGTGGCACTTTGTTATAGCAGCCCAAGTTGACTAAGGCAGGAATTATTTTAAATAAGTACTCTTCTTAATAAACTAAACCCAAGGAGCTAAATGTTACAATAAATTGAACCTCACCACACGGCACCACCTATGAAGTGTATCTGCCAAATCGTTAGCCTAAACCTAAGCCTTTCAGACCTACTTTCCTGCTGGACGCTCCTAGGAGGAAACACTCAACAAATTCCAAAGGTGGGAAAGTCTATGAGATAACTGGCTCAATGTCTTTAAAAGTCAGTGTCTTACAACCCCGATGTCACACAACTGAATGGATAAACAGAATGTGGTCCATCCATACAATGGACCATTATCCAGCCATAAAAAGGAATGAAGCGGTGACACAGGCTTCAACATGGGTGAATCTTGACACCATGATGCTCAGTGACATAAGCTGGTCACAGAGGACCACATACGGTATGGCCCTACCTACGTGAAATACAAAGTAGGCATCTACAGGATCAGTGGTTGCCAGGGGCTGGGGGTGGGGCGGTAGGAGGAAAGTTGGGAAGAAATAAGTATGGGGCTTCTAGAATTGACTATATAGCGATGGCTGCACATATTTGTGAATACACTAAAAGCCACTCAATTGTACACTGCAAATGGGTGAATTCTATCTCAATAAAGCTGGTAATATTAAAAAAGGAAACAAAGATGGGAAGAACTGTTCTAAATTAAAAGAGAATTGAGGTTTAACAATCAAAGGCAGCACATGGTCCCTGACTGGACTCCAATAAACATAATTTACAGAAACATTTTCCAAGCCGCTAAGGGAGACTGGAACATAGACCACTAGTGGGTGCGTGGGGGCGCCCCTGATTTCAGAAGGCCACACGAAGCGGCCCCAGGGTGACATGTGACATGCAGTGTGCAGTCACGGGGAAGCTCAGCAGCAAGACGGCAGACACAGGTTGGCCACAAAGCTGCTCAGTCGAGGTGGGGAGCCGATAACACTGGATTATTCCTTCTACTTTCCTATAGCATTTGAAGATTTTCACAATGAAAAGTTTTAAAAGTTACTCTGACCTGGGCTGTCAGCCGGTAAAGCAAAGTATCTCTCAGAAAGAAATGGGACAAATACCATATGCTCTCACTCATACAAGGAATTTAAGAAACAAAACAAAGGAAGAAACAAAAAAGAGACAAAACAACAAACTCTTAACTATAGAACAAAGTGGTGGCTGCCAGAGGGGCGGCGGGCAGGGACGAGTCAGACAGGAGGTGGGGACGAAGAACACACTTGTCACGTCGAGGGGATGGGCACTGAGTCATGTGGAGAAGTGCTGACTCACTATTATCGTACACCGGAAACTAACAGAACGCTGTACGGTAACTGGATTTCAATATAAACAAACAAAAAAGGTTCTTAACAGCCCCCCAAAGAGCAAATCTGACCTGGGCTGTCTGTCTGGCGGCTGGCAAAGCTGAGTATCTCTTGGCAGAAGTGTTTCCGCTCCTCTTCAGTTACATGGTGATCGCTGGCCAAAAGGCTACTGGTCTGAAGGTAGCTGGAGGGAAGAGTCAAGGGGTCTGGCAAAGGACCCCACCCTGAGGGGCGCTGGGCGCAAGCGGCTCCACGGTCCCTGGAGCCTCCAGGTGCAGCCCAATGGGGATTCTCCCTCATGTCTAAGTTATTAGGAACTCAAAAGGAGATCAGACACGTTGACGAGGCACTTAACTTCCATGTGACACGGGACATCAGAACAAGGCAGGCTTTTTCTCTCTTAACTATGAGGTGCTTATTAAACACTCCCTGTGGGCACCTCTGCTTGTACAGAGAGCAAGTCTCCCATTGCACGGGAACATCAAACTTAAAGGATACTTTTCGGTTTGTCCAAGATGCTTCTGACATTCGGCGAGCTGCTTCCTTGTGTGTGTGATAGGGAGTGCCCAACCCTCAGCCAGGTAATTTTTCAATGCTCCTTGAAGATAGATTTCTGCCTTCTCTGGAGACTTTTTCCTCCTTGCAAATCGACAAACAAGCTTTCGTCATGGTTCATGATAATCGTGACCTGCCCGCCACCCACTGCGAGCCTACGCCATGACACTGCACCATCCCAGTCCTTCCCCGACACGCCCCACAGGAGGGGGTGCGCGCAAGTGGAGCCGGCGAACGTGCTCATGCCAAGCCCACAGAGCGTGTCCAGCATCATACACTCGCCAAAGAACTTTCACAGGGAATCTCAGGATAAGAAAGTAAAGGCACTGCTCACTATTTTGAGCTGACACATAAGAACACCAAGGTTAAGCAAGGTGAAGGATTTGTCCACAGGTACACAGCTAGTTAGCCAGGGAGCTGTGAAATCTGCACCCAGTGCCACACCTCCTACTAGAGACAGGCACACACAGAAGCAGTCTATATGGCCCAACTGAGAGTCTGGAGCTTGGATCTACTCTCAAACTCAGGCAAACAGCCCTGAGCAGACTTCAGAGATTTACAGAGAACCATGAAGAATTTAAATAGCAACACACATCACCCAAGAGAGGCTCTTCCAGTCCCAATTTAAACCTTCAAGATGTTCAGAATAAAACCAAGTTCAAAGCACAACTGAGGAGAGCTGGCCAAAGCCTCTGTGACAATATGGACCCCTGCCCTTCCCCGCGGGGCTGCAGCTACTGAACTCACGGGACAAAGACCAACACTGAGCAAGCACTCACCCTTTCTAGGCACCCTGGGGAGACATCCCACGGCGTACTCCCCTACCCTTACAGAAATGAGAGTTCTCAAATCCTCAAATTACATAAATGTTCAAGCTATCAAATTACATGCATTATGTGTGCCGGTCTTCCTATATTCCCGTGTTTCAAAGGGGTCAGAACCTTCGATGCTTCTTCAGTTACTATCTCTAGCCAAAGACCCTTGAGTTCTAGAGCAGCGGATCCACAGACCACTCCTCAGCCCCCAGAGATGGAGGTCAGCGGCCACCCGGCTAGTCTGTGGCAAGCTGGAACCAGGACCCAAAGTCTCTGATTAGCATTCCAGTGTCATCCCACCGGGGCTCCCGGCCTCAGGATGCACTGGCATCCAGGCGGGCTCAACTCATAGCATCTGAGGATGCGGCCTCTTTGCCCCATCGACTAAACACTTACTCCTCAGGTTCCCTAGATAGAGACTTGGGAGCGCCAAACTCTAGCCCTGACCGCCCGCCGTCAGGTGCGTGACTGGCTGCCCCAAGCACATCTGGAAAACCAGGAAGTTCATCCAGATGATACACGAATCCCTCTGCAGCTACTTTAACCAGTTAAATTATTCTTTCTGGTTTCGTCTAATAAAATTACTTTATTAATTCTAGATTTCAAGATAGCATTTCAAGCACACACTTGAGAAGACTTAAACATCTTTTCCCTTAGATTTTCTATGCCTTTCCAGAGCTCTGGCCAGGGTTTCTTCTCTTCAATAGGCTGATTTTATCAAACATGTGAGAAAAACGCTAAGTTCTGAGTCTTATCTCTAGCACCCGACCCTAAAGCTGGGGTGAGACTGGCGATGTTCGCAGCCCGCGCACACCGTCTCCCCCAGAGCAGCCCTCTCTCGCACACAGAACACACGCAGGGACTGCACATCACTGACCTCCAGGTTTTCAATCTGCCCAGGAAGCAACTGACATGAACCAGAGAAAATGCTATATGATAAAAGAGTATTTCAGAATCTGCATCCCAATTTATGCCACTGGATAAAAATTCCTATTTCTTCCCTAATTCTTTCATTAAATAAAAGTATAATACTAGATATCAGATATGTTCTAAACACCACCTGCATACAGAAGTACGGTACATTAATTTAATTAAATAAAAGAAACACAAAGACCAGTAACAGATATGAAGGGTTAAGAAGCTAAAAATCTCTCCATCTGGTCTTCAGGAGAAACTGAAAAACAAAGCTGACGCTGATGGGTTGACAGGTTCTACATTTATCATTCTACACATTTATGTGCACGTCACATTAACCCCACACGCGACAGACCCTTTCCTACTACACATGTGACATGTATGAAACTCCCAGAAACATTCCCAATCAATTACATGTAGAACTCTGCCAGGTCCTTCCCGACGAGCCTAGCAGAGCGGGTCCTCCCGATGCTCGTGTGCATCTCGATGGCAGCGTGGGACAGGTCCTGTGGGAAAGGAGACGCCCATGTCAGCCTGTACAAGTCCTACACTCACTCACCCGATGGGGAAGCAAAAGACCTTGTCATTAACATCACATCACTGTTTACGTCACATCTGTGTTTGTGTCGAGTTTTTACGTAATGTGTGATTTACGCAAAGTCATTAACTCGTACATAAATTATGAAGCATAATAACAACCAAAATACGAACTCAGCAGGCAGAGAATATTTAACTCCTCAAAGTACTTTCCATATGTGGGCAACATTTTTACTATTTTTCTCACTTTTCGGATAACAGGGACAAAAAAGCTCTGTCAACTACTCCCAGGTTCCCCGTGACTCGGGAGTGCAGCCGGCCCGCCCGGCTCCTGCCCGCACTGTGCTTCCCGCAGGCTCTCCAAATCAAAATCTTTTAAAAATCAAGCACAATACCTCTGTTCAAGTCTAAAGCATTTTTTTTGTACACAGAAACCCGTTCATTATCCTCCCTTATAATTTCTATTCTACTGAATGAGCACTACCACTCTGAACAAAATTATAAATATCCACAGATGCTTTTATGCCTAATTACGGCACCAGAGGTAGTGACGAACAACTATCCCAGGTGTCACCTGCAGCTCCCTAGGGACCGCAAGGAAACACAAAGGCCAGTCAGAAGGAGGTCCCGGACACCATCCCATTCCCTGCCCCAAGGCCACGTGGCGCCAAGGTCTTCCAGAGACCGTTTTCTGCCGTGGGTAGACAGGGACCGTTTGTAATACTTACTAAGTAGTGCTTTTCAAAAGCTTCTACTGATGACAATGCTTCTCTGAGTTTCTTGTAAGGACTCTGAGCTGTGTTGGCTTAAACAAAAAGAAATAAGAGTCCTTATCCGTCCTCAGTGTGTCCAGTCATGAGTTCACATCCACCCTCAAACGCCACAGGTTTGGGGGTTCACCTGCTGCCCAGGGAAATCACAAACAGCCATGCGCCTGGAACCCCATCACTACCTCTGCGCTTGTCCAATGAGAATAGCCATGAGAGACTCTAAACCCTGCGTGTAATACTTCATTCTCGATGGAGACTGGGGTTCTTAAATCCCTCACTTCCACAGTGATCGCACGTGTGTCAGGCTGGAGCCCAGCAACGTGAACAGCACACGTCCCACATGTGGCCCGGAGAGCAGCAAGGCTTTGGCTGAATCTCACTCCTACCGTTCTGTTCACACCTGCGAGAAGCAGTAAGGCTCCTTCCAAAGGGTTCTGTGACCTAGGAGTAACTTATGGGGTAAAAGGATTTGTCCGTCCATATTGCTCGGAAACTAGATCCCCTGTGATTCAGAGGGAGATCTTAACCCCACACGGGCTGTAGAAAGCCATGACCAGCTTGCGTAAGCCTGTGAGAAACTCAGAAACATTTTTAAAAATCCTTCCAACTTCTTAAACTATGTCTAACATTTCTTTACATTAGTAAAAGGCAAATAAAATATCTCACATATTAACCTGGTCAGCTGACAAGGAGTATAATTTCTAATTTCCCAAATGGGGAGCGATTACATGGTTAGAACTTGAATGAAATGTGCCAAGATACCACCAACATTCTCCTGACTTTCCACTGTACCACCTGCTCAGACATACATCAGAAAGTACCTGTTTCAGGTCGCTCAGCTCCCAAACCTGCCAAAAGATCAACTATCCTGTTGAGGTCCTCTGAGTTAGGTCCTTTTTCTGACACAAGTCCACACAGATAGCCCAAGGACTTTAGCTGTTGAGATAAACCCACAATTTCAAGTAACTGGCAACAGCAGGCAGCAGAGAACTTATGAATTTGAATATAAAAATTAACATCCAGCTAAATTCTAGAAGACACTCAGCTCTCCATCCAAACACTTCGCACCTGCACGTAGGAACACGTCTCGCCGGGGTCATTCTGCCCTCACACCCTCCACGCGGTAACCTGAGTGACGGAGACTAGGAGGTCTCAGCTCAGGCCACGCAGCCACCTGCACGGTCCCAGGCTTTCAAGGCCTCCCGCCCAGTCTGCACCGGTGACCTGACACGAGCAGGCCATGCTGCCACACACAGTGGGTGACCAGCCGTCACTTATGGCCAGAAGCCACCCTCACTTTTACACGACATTCCCCACTTCACTCTTCTTTGCACCTCCCTCCCTCCCCTGCCCCAACTGCTGGGTAGAGCATCGTCGGCACGAACAGGGCAAGCACTTGGTCTCTGCTGAAGAGTGACACTGGCAAGGAACCATTTTGTGCCTCACTGCTACGAGACATGCCCTGAAGTGACGAGAACCGCCCGTGCGATGACTAAGGGAACCACACTTCTCCAAAGAGCTTCCCCCATCCACCGGCCCCAGGGGCCCAGCCCAGAACAACACCCGTGCCTGCATTCGGGAGGTTACCTTTTCAGTGGCATAGCTCCATAACCCCACAGTGTGGGCGATGTTCGAGTCGATCTGCGCCCGGTCACAGCAACCCTCTATCCTCTGCAGCACCTCCAGGCAGCTCAGGAACACCCAGCAGTCCAGAGCACCGGGGGGCACAGAGACCTGGAAGGCACAAGCACGGTGTGAAGACAGAGCTCGGGAAGGCACCGTCCCGCGCCCTAGTGAGTGCGCCCCTTCGAGCAGCGACCCCACTTAGGGCTGCCGTCTGCCCGGCTATGGGAATGGAACAGCGGACAGGAGCACAGTCCCATCAGTTCGCCTCCAGACGGGAGAGGGGCGATCCACGTCCAAACACAGTTTTTGGTTTTATGTTTCCAATGATAATGAGAGCCTTGGGAGGGACGTGACTTTCAATAATATATTTTGAAAAGCTTATTAAGAAAAGGCAGCTACAAAAAGGGCTGGCTATCACCGCTTATCTAGGTTTGAAGAGTACACATTATGAAGGGCAGAAGCCAGCACCTCAGGTGAGCACTGGGCCCCATTTCAGAAAGACCATGCTCAGTACATGAAATCCGAGCATTAAGTAAGTTACCAGGTGATACTTAGGAATTATTTAATTTGTTCATTTTTTTCAGGTGTGACTAAGTATGGAAAAAAGAGCTCCTGCAGTTTAGAGATACCCTCTGAACTATCACCCACAGATAAAACATGATGTCTAAGATTTGCCTAAAAATTGCCCAGGGGACCATGGATAGGGACACAGATAAAGAGAAGAATGGTCACTTGCAGGCTGGTAGCCGCTGTGGGTGGGGATGGCAGACCCAGACATTCATCACATCACCCTCTCTACTGCTGTACATATCTGAGCCTTTCCATTGCAAGACTAATAACGCAAATGCTGTATTATCACAAATACAGAAAGCATCTACTGTGTATGACTGATTCTAAGATACGCTTTTTCCCACATTTAAGCATCTCTGAAATAGGAAGGTGTCTCACCATCAATGGCATCTTAATGCTTCAAGTTGGCGGGGCTGACCATTTTCCTGGCGGCACTAATCCTACGAGGGATCTTACAACTGGCACTCCAGTTATTATTCAAAAATCGGAGCGTAAGAGATAACTATACATCACTCGACAAGGGAAGCTGGCCTAATGCTGACAAAAGACTCCTTTGACACACGCTGAGCGCAAATACAAGGACCCGGAACCAACTGGAAGGAACCAGAGTGCCAATGTTCCCAAAAAGCTAAATTGCCCAGTCTCTGCAAAATGAGATAAACGACTTAGATCCTCTCAGACGAAAAATGGGCCTAAAAACCATTTACACTGTCAGAAGCTCCTCTGGCCCAGACGACGGACCATATGCCAGGGGTGCAGAGAAAAGCTGGTTGGCAGGATGCAGCCCGGGGACAAGGTCAGGGCACATCCCTCCCTCCCCAATCACACCAAGGCGGGCTCTGAGTCGGCTGAGCTGGCCTCACGGGCCCTCCTGGCTCCCGGGTACCGCACATTCCGAGTACCGTCAGCTCACAAGACAGTACCGTCACAGGCAGCCGTTTTGTGGAAGCTTCTGCTGAATGTGCCCCCTCTCCTCAGGCCCACGCTCGTTAACTGCCAGCAAGAATAAAGGGAATGTACCAAAGCTATACACAGGGCTTCTGCCTCAGGTGAACCCAGAAGAGAAAGGGAACACCTAGCAGTCAGAGCAGGGAGCTGCTGCAGGGCAAAGCTCCAGGAGGGGCTACAGGGGGAGGGGGAGCGCTGAGAGGGGCCGCAGGGGGAGCGCAGGGGGAGCGCTGAGAAGGACCGCGGGGGGGCCAGGTGCAGGCTGGCAGGTGTCTGGGATCTGAGTATGTGTGGGCCGCTCTTCCAGAGCAGGGAGGGGCGGCAGCGGCCGAGCGCCTGAGCGTGAGACACCGAAGGGCGCACCTGTACACGGGCAGGCTCTAGAAGAGGCGCACGCCATGACAGAGAAGTCTTCCTCTGTGCAAAGACTATGGACTAGATACTTCCTTGGCACCTTTGTTTTCTGCAAAGAGCAAGTACCACCTTGGTGAGTTTGGAAGAACAGTGCCTGGGAAGCAGGAGCATCCAGCGGCAGCAGGAGCTTGGCTGAGGGCAGGAAAAGCACAAGCACCATGGACCGACTTCCAAGCTGGAGGCGGCTGCGGCGGGCAGCAAAGGACACGGCAGGCAGGGGCCGCGCAACAAGGGCAGGGGGCGCCTCTCGACTGGGGGTCCCCCAGTGACTGCTGGTTCCGGTCCTGCCCGGGAGGCCCCCTGCCATCCCCACGCGGACCGCTCCCCGGCTGCGGCTCTGACTTCTCCCGGTCCTGCTCAGGAGCGTGGGAGTCCTGACTGGCTCCATGCAGAAGGAACGGCTGCAGCTTCTACACTTGCCATCACATGCCAGTTAAGCTTTTGCTGAAAGACACCGGCCTAGGAACTGGAACCACACTCACTGGTGCGGGCGCGGCTCCCCACAAAGCCCAGCTGCACATCCCACAGGCCCAGCCCTCTTACACACGTCAGGGCCTGACAGAGCTGGGCACAACTTTAGGAGTGGCGATCTAGGGCTTTCAGAAATGCTTAAAATATCAACGGAGTCATAGTTCTCTCATCGCTTTAAAAAAAAAAGGTTACGAGTACATACAGTGAGGTATGCACGGGGCCCAAACCGCTAACCTCAGAGCCCCGTGAAGTTTTACAGCTGGACCACCACTCAAATCAAGAACAGATCACCATCATTACGTTGGAAGGTTCCCTTGAGCCCCTTTTCCCAGTCAAAACACACCCCAAAAGGTATAACCCCTTTCTGCCCTCGGTCACCAGTGGGTGGCTGAACCTCCCACAAACCAAACCACACAGCACGAGCTCTTCTGTATGCGGCTTCCCTGTCGAAGAGAAGAGTGCGATCCAACCTCGCAGGGCCTGTCAGCAGCTTGCACTTCACTGCTCGGTCCTATGCCCTTCTACGAATATGCCACGATTTATTTATCCATCCCCATCCACAGGCGTTTGGGTTGTTTCCAGGGTTTGGCTACCGTGGATACAACTACTTGCAATACCGCGCCCCCCCCTCCGGGGGAGGAAGCCTTCTCTGACTCAGAAGACCCCCAGCCCCCTGTGCACCAATCTACACAAAAGGATAAAGGAGGACAGCATCAGTGGCCCCTCTCCTGCAGGAACCCCTGCAGCATCAGGGCAAGGAGAGATCAACACGGGGTCTCTCGGGAGGCCTCAGGGCCCACGGGGGAGCCCCAGCCTCCTGTAAGATCCACGGAGGTGCAGCAAGGGGAGTGCGGGCTGGCCACCAGGTGCTGGTGGTCTCCCAGTCCAGGCACAATCCGCTCACCAAAGGTGACCTGATCATAAGCCATGCTGCCTAGTAACACAGCTGCACCAACTTGATCTAGCCCCAAGGAAAAAGAGCCGGGAACTTAGTCAAAGTCAGGCCCTCCTGTTAGTTTACAAGCCCCTCTGAACACCCCCCTATTTGTCTTTTGGTTGGACTCCTTCTTCTTGGGTACGTACCTAGGAACAGATTGCTGAGTCAAAGAACATTTCAGCTTCAGGAGACAATACCAAAGAGTTTTCCATAGTGGTTGTATCACCATGTGCGAGCTCCAATTTTTCTGTTTGATACTGTCAGTTTTTCTACAGGTTACCATCATCCATTACGGTAGAGTTTGAAAATGGTTTAAAAGTCCCGTGAAGTTTGGAAAAGCAGGCTCGTTCTGCAGCCAGGGCTAGAACCAGTTCTAGACCTGTTCCAGCAATCACGCTAGTCTCAGCCAGCCTGTCTGGGAGCAGCAGGCCCGGGGCGGGGGCGGGGGCGGGGACACATACCTCAGCAAACACATGAGGAGTGCCCCAGGTCTCACCCAGGAGGCAGCAGCCCCCCAAAGTCCACACCCCACAACGCCACGCTGCCCAAACCCACGAAGGATGAGCCTCAGCTCTGCTCTGAGGGCGAGCTTGCCCAGCAGTGCACACAGCTCTGCTGTGAGCCCGGGTGGTGGGCTCAGCACCTTTTGACAATTCACATTCCCTAACAAGAAGGATGATGAGCACCTTTCCACAGACTTCTGGGCCATTTGTATAACCTCTTTTGTAAACAACACACTTTTTAAATGGATTTCTTGATACAGGTCTCTATCTGAAAGCACCACGCTCCTATGAAACCCTCCATAAGCCGAGATGACATAAGGCGAAGGATCAAGTGCCGTTAGTTTACGTGGAAAATTTTTGAGCATTCCCAGACCCCCAAAAATCACTTCTCACAGGCTTTTCTGATCCCCAGGACATGTCTAGCTAATGGACACACAAAATCAGTCGAGATCGAGCCCAGATGCTCAGGGACGCAGCTGAGCGCGCCGGGGCGGGAGGCTGAGATGCCGCGGGTGGTTCGTGGGGCAGGAGGTGGACCGCGCTCTCTGCTTGGGTGCAATCCGCCGCTGGACGCTGTTTTTGCTTTTCGCCTTTTCTTCCTCTAAGAGCAGAAATCCTCTTCGCATTTCTTCTGGTTAGTGAGGACAGGTATGAATGTAGGTCTTTTTTAACAGTGAAGTGGTATAAAACAAACTTTTGAAAAATGGGGATACCTCTTCTTTAGTTTCTTAAAGCCCCCCTCCTTTCCTAAGACCACTATTATCAGTAACCCCAAGAGCTGTTTTACCATTTTCTAAACCTACAGTTAAAGGCCTTCTTTTTATTCTTTCTTTTGTTAAACCGACATTTTTTGCAAGACCGAACACTGAGAAACACAGCATCATAAGGCACCCCGACGTGCCCACCCCCTGCTGGAGACTCACAGGTGCAGCGGAGCCCCGCCCCCTGCCACGTCCAGCTCCGCCAGTCGCCATCCCCTTCACAAACCTGTTCCTGGACGGAAGCCTCACAACAGACAGCTTTTGAACGCTGTACACAAGGAAGCAAAACGCATATATCCTTTTGTGTCTGACTTCTCTCGCTCTCGTGTTGGGGAGACCGGCCCACTACACGCCCGTCTGCTTCCACTGCTGTCCGCCAGTCTGCTGTGCAAACAGCCCACAAGGATCGTCCCCGCGAACGCGATGGACGTTCGGGTTATTTCGTTTCCAGCAATTATGAATGACGCGGCCACGAGCACGCTGGCTCATCTCTTGGTACGCGCA